TCACCGGCGTTGGTGACCTCGCAGGGCAACACGACGGTGTCCTTGGTGACGATGCGGTACGTCTTGCCTGTGGTGGCGAAGGCGGGCTGGTCGGCGGCGCTCAGCTCCGCCGACGGCGCCGCGGCCGCCGCCCCGACGCCAGCGCCCCGCGCCCCTGAGGCAAACGGACGAATATCAGCACACACAGTCACATACTGAGACAAGGCAAAATACCTAAAGGGATTTTTAGCATTTAGAAGCAAAAACTTGAGTTTCAAATATCTCGCAAAATATAAGGAATGAGGCAAATTAATATGAGACGTTGAAAACCTAAAGTATCAGAAAATCCAAATATTAATTGGATTTAATAAAATTTTGACAATTTAGGATTTTTTCCAAAAATATGGCAAAGAAATATTATAAGACATTGTTGATAGGCGATAAATGACGCTTCAAGTATATAGTAGCGGTGCGGCAAGAGCGCATAAATAGGAAGAAATATAACAATAAAACAAGTGAAACGGCAAGGTCATATATAAAGTGTAAAAAAAGAATTTCAGACAGAATGATCTCCGAGTTGGCAGGGTAAGGAACGATGGCCGACAAGGAATTATGTAATAATATTTTTGTGATTAGTTCGAGGAGATAGAAAGCGGACATGAGGTACACGGGTAAGGGGAGAATAGCAAAGCAACTTAAATTGGATTTTTCGAAAAAAGAGTCTGTAATATTCGTGGGATAAACAGATCGGGGATAAGAAGAGAAAGTTTAGTAGTTGAAATTCATTGTGAATATACGGAGAGCTGCAGATGGAATTGGAACAGTCGCTGACGTCATTCACACCGCCAAGATTGCTGTACACTTTGCAAAAGAGAAGTTTAGACAATAAGAGAGAGGCATTAATAAAAAAAATTGAAAAAATGCCATGTGATGTTTAAATATTAAGGTTAAAATTAAGAATGAATAATATATATTTTGTTGGTAGGAATTTGATGGCCATTAATAGAAACAATAGAGAATAAAAAATAGATTGTTGTACAAAATTAATTAATTAAGAATATATTCGAAATCAATAAATCGTGTCAGCCAACACACAATGTTGCTGGTAAGTCATAAGCAAAATTTGTATATATTTAAATTTATTATTAACAAAGGTTCCCTAACAATAATTAAATTGTTCACCACCCGAACACTCGTACGAGCGGTATTTTCAAGCCCGGGAGACAAGATAGAACCGTGAGAATGCTGCCACCCAAGAAATTATATTAAAATCAAAACTACCCAGTCCATTTAAGTCCTTTAAAGAGAGAGAGAAAATAGTATAAGTAGACATTATTTTGACTCACTTCAATGGTCGGCCCAATACGAGGCCGCAAAGTGTAGTAAATATTTTGAAAGTAAATTAATAATGTAAATAAATTAATATTGTAAAAAGTTAAGTATTAAAAAGAAGGAATTGTTTATTTACTTCAATTCACACACACTCTCGCAAAAAACATGCCCGGGCCGACTGAGTGAGTGTTTGGTATTTCCGGACGCATCAAAGACTAGTTCAATGGGTGTAGTAAATGTTGTAGCCGGAGGTAGCGGTGTTTCTTGCCCCGTGGATGGTGAGATTCGGCGCAGACCTACACGTCGTTGTGTAGATTTCTCACTCGAGCAAGTGAGTACCGCCCCAGACTCAGCTCTGAGTCCTCGAGTGATCTTCCGTTATAGATGTAATGTAGTAACGAATGTAAATGAAGGTGTATGTGTGTGTGTAAAGAAGGATGAGAGGTGAAGGACGAAAAAAGACAGATCGCACGCAGTCCTTAGCTTGTTTGTTAGGGTACTTCTCCCGCACTCACCTGGTACTCTCCGACAAGCGTGGATTAAACAACCAAACAATGAAACGAATTGTATTCGTATGATAGTAACGAAATGCGAGGTTTAAGCGACGTTTACTGTCTTTACCATTTACACGATCACAATAGCACGCTTGAGGCCTTGATCATCTTGAATCACCTCTTTGTTGGATTATAATCTCAGAAGGCAGAAAGAAATACGGTACGTCCGAGGTGAATGATACCTTATCTTTTGTGACATCTTGAAAATATCCCCCAAAAAAGGAGAGAGATTACATTAAGAAAGTTTCTAGTTCACTAATGTTTTTACGTACAATGACTATCGGTGTCGAAGACATTATCCTGAAAGATACTTGACACATGAAAGTACCAAATACACCAACCTGTCTTTGGAATAAAAATCCAGCACCGCAATAAATAGGGATAATCCAATAGGATTCATGTTATGTAGTCACATAATCCATTCACTTCCGTGTTATTGCTGAATATTTAAATCCAGCAATTACGAAAATGATTTACAAAATGACTGTGAGGTATGAAGAAATTTTGAAGATTGAAAATAAAAATACGATTGCTGTTGATTCGTGTAAAATTTTTAACCAAGTCATGCACATTGTACGCTCTTTGACATTTTTCTTCATAAATAAAACACAATATCGCATCCAGAAAACACTTCAAAAACAATAAATATGACCGACACAATTATGACAGTGTTGGGGAACGATTACGATGTTGAAAACTCATTGCGTTAAGGTTTTTACAGTGGTAAAAATGGCAAACAATTAAGATAGGGTGGGTAATGAACGAAAATACTGCATTACTTTCCAAGCTTGAGTAATGAAAGAAAATACAAAAAAACAACATGTAATTATACATAGTAATGAACAAAGAATTGCAGACATTGAGACAAATATAACAAACATACATCATATTGTGTAGTTGTTATTATTATTATTATTATTATTATTATTATTATTAAATGAAAAGAAGTGTCATAAAATAAATTTCAAAAGACTCTTCCTGCTTACGTACTTAAAATCGCTTAATTACTTTAAAAAACTTAAATTTACATTTTAAAATGAAGCTCAGAAT